CATAAATAAAAAAACTGCAAACATATGTACTTTGACCGAAACATGATTGCCAGATCAAAATGGAATTGATAGAAACTGCAAAACACAGCTTTTACAGCATACCTCTAACAGGAAGGAGAGAAGGAGAAGAGGAAGGAGCTGGCTAACGTCTATATTTCAACCCTTGCCGATATGGAAGTCGAACAACATTTCGACGACATGACCCCGGAGGAGATTCAGAGTAGGGTTAAGGCCTACATTGAGGAGAAAGCTAAGTCTTCTGAGAAGGAGGTCGAAGTCGTTGAAGCGCCTCAGGTGGCTGGAGAGAAGTCGGCTGAAGATGGGGATCATCGGCACGAGTTTATTCCGATTACTGATGTTGCCATTGATGCGGCGGCTAAGGCCAAGGAGGTGGCGATGCTTGATCATCTTCATAAGCAATTTTCGAACAACTCGGAGGTCGGTGAAGGTAGCGGTGCTGGTCAAGATGCTGAGAAAAAAGATGACGCCGCCTGAAGTTTCAGTTCTTTTTATGTTTTTATATATTTGCAGTATATAGTCGGGGTGTCAGCATGTTGGCATCCTTAGTAGGAAATATTTATGATATTTGCAATTGCAATATGTAATCGGGGATATCAGGTAACTGATTCCCTTAGTAGGAAATATGTAAGGGTCTTCCCAACTTTTTCACGATATATATATATGAAGTGTTTGCATAATTTTTATTTTGATTTATGTTTGCTGTACTATTTTCAGCAATTTTTTCGACCAAGTGTTTTGAACTCGGTTCGGAGTATAAAATGAATTGCTTCAATCGTACAAATTTCAGCAATTTTTTGACCAAGTGGTCTGAACTCGGTTCGGTTTATAAAATGAATTGCTTCAACTCGGGTTTATTTATATCATTAACCGAGTCGTGAGATTTTGTAAGAATAATTTCCGAGTTCCACCTTCACAGCAGGCAGCACAGAAAGAGGAGTAGATCCAATGGGAGCCGCGCTAGTTGCTCAATCCCTTGCTTGTTTGTTCCCTCCACTAATCAGTCTGAGATCTCGTTCGTGTTCTATCATTTTTGATCTTTGGTTTTGTGATTATTTCAGCCACAAGTGCAAGTCGATATGCGAGTTTTCAAATAACTCGCGAAACTTAACACATATTTAGGGCTGTGCGTGAAATGAAATAGAGTTCACCGAACTTCGTCAGAGTTCGATTATAGAATGGCCCCAACCGATTTATATTTTTTACGTTCGGTAACTTTCGGGGCCCGTCAAATCATGTGTGTTGAAATGACGTTTGACGAGCATCACCCCCATCCAAACATATGTGGTATTCAGACATATTATGGGGTATCAGCTAGACCGAGTGTCGCAATGCTTATGTCGGTACGAAATATTCATGGAACCGAGTTTCAAAATGTTTACATTGATAAGGAGCTGTTGCTCGGATTTTTAAAAGCAAAAGCCGACAGGCTTTTCAGTACATCAAAAGGGTTACTTCGTACATTCACCGAGGAAAAAAGAAGGTCCGTGCAAAAGAAAGGTCGGCTATCCGACTTCGGACCATTCACTGATAGAACTTTTTCAAGAACACAGCATTCCAGGGATATTGATGAGGTGTTCCGTCGGGATGAGCAATCCGATATGCTCCATGGGGTAAAACCTCAGTGATTTGGTAAGGCCCCTCCCACTTTGGTTTGAGTGGTCCGGGGTCAGGCCCCATTATACGTTTGAGGACCAAGTCTCCAACTCGGAATGAACGAGGTTTGCGTTTAGAATTGATATATCTCTCACTTCTTTGTTTGTAAGCGGCATTCCTGAGTTCGGCCCGGGTACGATGTTCTTCAAGCAGGTCCAGATTAGCCTTTATGTTTTCCGAGTTGGCCTCTTCGGTGAAATGTTGAACTCGATACGTCGGTTCTCCGAGCTTGACTGGGACCACGGCTTCTGAGCCGTAAGTTAAAGAAAATGGGGTCTCGCCGGTAGAAGTTCGAGTGGTAGTTCGATAAGCCCACAGGACATGTGGTAGTTCTTCCGGCGAAGCTCCTTTGGCAGCGTCAAGTCGGACTTTAAGGCCGTTTTTTATGAGCTTATTTACAGCTTCCACTTGGCCGTTGGACTGCGGGTGGTAAGGCAATGAGAAGAAGTGTTTGATGTTATATTCTTCGCATAAGGACTCGAGTTGCTTGCCTTCAAATTGCCGACCGTTGTCAGTGATGATGGAGTTCGAGACTCCGAAACGGCAGATGAGCGATTTCCATATAAAATCAATGACTTTCTGTTCGGTTATCGTGACTAACAGTTCGGCTTCAGCCCACTTAGTGAAATAATCAACGGCTACAATGGCAAATCGGACGCCTTCTTTTTCCGGTCGGTAGAGGACCTATGAGATCAATCCCCCATTTGGCAAAAGGCCAAGGACTGTAGATCAATTTGAGCTCTTCGGGAGACTGATGGACATTAGGCGCGAATATTTGGCATTTTAAGCACTTATGAACCCATGCAGCGGCGTCAGTTTTCAAGGTTGGCCAGTAATAGCCTTGTCGCAATATTTTATAAGATAGGGCCTGCGCACCAGGGTGGCTTCCGCAAATTCCCTCGTGGATTTCTTCAAGGATATATCGCGAGTCGATTTCACTTACGCATTGTAAAAGTGGGACGGAGTATCCTCTTTTGAACAAAGTCCCATTATCTAGTGTGTACCGAGATGCTCAGATCCGAAGTGCACGAGCTGCTTTTGGGTCTGGGGGCAAGGCCCCAGTTTCCAAATAATGAATAATAGGATCCATCCAAGTCGGTGGCTTTTGTGGTGTCACCGGATCGATAGTTGCAACCTCGAAAAGTGCAGTCGACGGTTGCTCTTGCTGGCCAATTTGGACATACTCCGCGCTCTCCATCCCGGTACTGGATGCCAGCCGAGATAAGGCATCTGCTTGAACATTAAGAGCTCGGGGGATATGTTCGAGGTCGGCGGAGAATTTTGATAATTTCTGTTTGGCCAAAGAGAGATAAGGTGTCAACCGAGGTTCTTTGACTTCATATGAACCGTTGATGTGGTTGACAAGGAGTTGAGAGTCCCAGAAGACTTTAAGGTGTCTCACGTTCATGGATTCAGCCAAATTCAATCCGGATAGCAAGGCTTCGTATTCGGCTTCATTGTTGGTTGCCGGGAAGAGAAACTTCACCGAGTGACAGAATAACCGGTTCTCCGGGTCTGCTAAAACTATCCCTGCGCCTGCTCGGTTGGCTGTTGAGGATCCATCAATATTGAGGACCCATGGTTGATTATCACGATGAACTGTTATGGCCGGAGTGAACTCGGCGATGAAGTCAGATAAGGCTTGAGCCTTGATCGCGGTCCTCGGTTGATAATAGATGTCGAATTGTCCGAGCTCAATGGCCCATTTGACCATGCGTCCCGAGGTATCAGGTCGGTGCAGGATTTGCCAAAGTGGATACGAAGTGCGGACAGTTATGGAATGTTCTTGAAAATAAGGTCGTAATTTCCGTGCAGCAACGACAAGCGCAAATGTTAATTTTTCCATCGGAGGATAACGTAATTCGGCATCATGCAAGGCTTTGCTGACATAATAGATAGGCGATTGCAACAGTCCCTCTTCACGTATCAAAACAGCGCTAATGGCAGAATCACTGACTCCGAGATATAAGAACAACATTTCCTCAGGTTTTGGCTTTTGTAAAGTCGGCGGAGAGGCAAGCGTCTCCTTGATGCTAACGAGAGCTTTCTGGCATTCCTCGGTCCATTCAAAACGTTTTTCTTTTTTAATTGCTTCGAAAAAGGGTCTGCAACGATCTGTAGACTTGGAGATGAACCGGTTGAGTGCAGCAAGTCGGCCGGTTAGGGCCTGAACACCTTTAACCGAGGTCGGGGGTGTTAGATCTTGAATGGCCTTTATTTTGGCCGGATTGGCTTCAATTCCGCGCTGGCTGACCATATAGCCCAGAAATTTTCCAGATTCAACTACAAAAGTACATTTCTTAGGATTTAAGACCATAGAATAGGATCGGAGGATGGCGAACATTTCTTGAAGATGCGTTATGTGATCAGAGGCGTGCACCGACTTGACGAGCATGTCATCAACGTAAACTTCCATAGTGTGACCGATTAGTGTAGCGACCATTTTGTTGACGAGACGTTGATATGTGGCTCCGGCGTTCTTTAATCCAAACGGCATCATAGTATAACAGTACAAGCCTCGGGCCGAATAGAATGAGGTGTTTTCAGAATCTTCAGGATCCATAGGAATCTGATTATACCCCGAGTAAGCATCCATAAAATTCATCAACTCATGTCCTGATGTTGCATCGACCATATAGTCTATGTGGGGAAGCGGATAACTGTCCTTCGGGCATGCCTTGTTCAGGTCGGAAAAATCGATACACAGTCTCCATAGCCCATTGCTCTTTTTGACAAGAACATGATTTGAGACCCACGTCGGGTATTTGGCTTCCTTGATGAATTTGTTGTCTATGAGTTTTTTTACCTCTTCTTCCAACGCCTTCTGACGATCCGGCCCCAGTTTTCTTCTCTTTTGCACAACAGGCCGGATGGTTCGATCAAGGTTCAACTTGTGGGTAGCGACACCGGGGTCGATGCCCTTCATATCCTCGTGCTTCCAAGCGAAAACATCATAATTGTGTTTGAGAAACGAGATAAGTTCTGACCGAAGAGGTTCTTGAAGATGACTTCCAATACGCAATGATTTGTGGAAGACTGGTTCATCGATATAGATCAATTCTATGTCTTCTCCAGGTTCGGCTCGATCACTTCGGTTTTTTTCTTTAAACAAGGCTCTAGGGTCCAACTCGTCCTCTTCAAGAAGTGGCTCCTTTCCAGGTCGGCGACCTCAGTCTTCGGTCAAAGGATCCGAGGTGAAAGGATCACCGACGAGGTTGTTCGGTTCTTCAGACGCCGTGTCGTTCGAGACGCTTTGTGATGGAGAGTTGTTTGTCGAGGTGGAATGGATGCCGCTAGATGGTATGAATGTAATAAGTTCTCGAGCTTCTCTCTGGTCCCCGAAGTGTGTCCCTTCTCCTCTTGTAGTCAGGAACTTCAGAGCATAGTGAAAAATCGAAACTGCAGCTCGAAGTTTATACAGTGCTGTTCTGCCGATGATGGCATTGTACTCATTATTAATATCCAGAATCTTGAAAGTTTCCATGACGAGCTTGGTGACATTCTCTGAAGTGCCGAATCTGACAGGTAAAATGATCTCGCCGATAGGCTTCGAAATACTTCCGTTGAATCCTTGTATCTGATCATTGCAAGGTCGGATGTCGGCAGGATCAAGACCCATTTTGTCAAAAGCTTTTAACATTAAAATGCTCGAATAGGCCCCAGTATCCACCATAACACGATGTACAGGGATTCCGCATATTGGGACGGTGATAACAAGTGCGTCGGAATGAGGATGTGCGAAGTGATTAGCATCCTTCATATTAAAAGTTATGGGACAATTCCGATTGTTGAGGATGTCTCTCAAATCAGTAGTGTACACTTGTTTGTTGGAGTTGTACGCTTGTCGGGCATAGGCTTTAATTTGTCGACGGGACAATGTACTTCGGGAGTTGTTGGTGTTGACACGGTGGACGGTGATTTGCATCGGTTCTGGAGATCGACCTCGTTTACGTCCTCGGGCAGTTCCAGTAAAGTCTGAATTGGGCGTTTCCAAGGTGAACATAAATACTTCCTTGTCTCCTTGTCGGATGCGTTTTGGCATGGTACCTCGGTCCTCCTCGTCATCCTCATCATATGATTCGACCTGACGCCCAGGACCTCGTTTTTGGGGGTCGGTGTTGCGGTAGAATTTTCTAAGCTGTGGATGACCAATTAATCGTAACAGGGCTGCTAACAAACTTAGACACTCATCTGTGTTGTGCCCTGGTGATTTATGATAGTGTAACGCCCCACTTTTATTTGCCGAAAATCAGAATAAATTTTTCAAATTTATTTC